GGCTTCTCCCCTGGCCCGACTTCCCTTCTTCCTCGCGGCGGCTTAGTCACTCCCGGTGGGCTTGGTGGCGCGACGCTTCGAAGCTCCGGCGGCGGCTCGCTTTGCGACAGGTTGGAGGGCTTGTCCCCGTCTGGTGGTGCCGCCTTGACAGCGGCTGCGGCCTAGGGCTCTTGACCCCAGATTGGATCTGGGTGGTGCTCGGGCCTGGCCGTGGCTGCCTGTCAGGCGTGGTGGCGGCGAGTCTCGCGGCCTCTGGGCATCGTGGAGGTGCCGGCGGCGGTGTGTGCTCAGCCTGGGGATGGCGGCGGCCGTGCACGAGAGTTAGATTCCTTCAAACAAATCTGGGTGAAAACTTGCTTTCGGCTACTGTCAAGGCCGGCGGTGGCGGTGCTATCTGCATCATTCCCTTCTTGAAGGCATCGTTGTGGAGAAGTTCAAGGCCACTCTCTGCTACCTCCGGGGGAAACCCTAAAGCGGATGATCGGATGACGGCGGCGCTCTGGTGTCGTTCCCCCCTTGGAGCGTCATTCTTGGAGGTACACACGTGATCGAGGGACCAGAGGAAGGATCCTTTGGTGGAGCGGTGTGTCATCTCACTCATTGATGGCGGCGGATCACGGCGGCATGGCGTTGTGGTGACTCGGCGTCCAATGCGCGGAGATGGACTCGCGTAGGAGGGTGACGCGGTCTGGCGTCGACGGCAGCTAGATCGGGCAAGGTAGATGCATCAGTACAGCTCTGAAGATGGATTGGTGGCAGGTGGTTGCGGCGGTCTCATACCCGGCAGGCGTCCTGATTGAGGAGTGCGCCGGACCGGTGGGTGCCCCATACCCGGCAGGCGTCCTGGATGGGACCTCAGGTTTTAGATGTTAGGTTTGGCTGCGAGGTCTGTTTGGTATTAGACCCAGACTATCAGCATTCCTTCATCAATTAGATAGGAGTAGCGACAGATGTTGCCTAGACAGTGACTTTAGTCTTACTGTTGTATTACTTTGTAAGGTCTTATGTGAATAATTAATAAAGTGACTACATGCATCGTCCAGATGCAGAGGTCGGGGATCTTCCTCCTTTTCTAAAAAAAATTTACCTAAATATTAGTTGTGCTTGCAACAAACTGTCAGATCCTATGAAAAATTTATGTGTAGCGACACAAATGGAAAATTGAACCATCTGCCATATCCACAGGTTGGCTTCTAAATGATTCAATGTCTCATACAGATGCTGGAAATGTTGGTTTTTAGGGGATATAAATTTTTTGAGGGGATGCAGAAGTTGTTTCTGTAAGCTGCAAAAGTAGTAGCTGAAATATCACTACACATTTTTAATAATTCTGGTAATATATCCAGAGATTAATTCATGAGGGGAACAACAAGCTTTATCGATCAATCCGAACGTCTCCAGACATAGATTCCATAGTATTTAGGCATAAACCACCAAACACAGGGAATGGCGGACCACAACAGAGGATGTTTATAGTTGCGGTTACATTCTGCGCAATTTTACATAGTGGACAGTCACACAAATAAATAAATAAAAGACAGTCACACAAATTGTTGATGGTTGAGTTTCATACCGCGCAATCTCTATCTTGGAACGAGAACGATGCCATCCTGTTGGAAATTCCGGACTCAGAAGCTCAGTGGAAATCGACCTTGGGCGTTGTGTGATACACAAAGTAGCGACATCACTCCTTGGCAGAAAGAAAGCAGCCAGTAAACGGGTTGTTTTAACCTAAAATCATACGCTCCCGATTAATATTGATCCACATCAATGTTAATAAAACGTTTGTTAGGAGATGGAACACGATACATTACCGAGTTTCACCTGGGAATATAAGAAACATTTCTGCCATTGTTAGAGATAGGGCCATAGGGGGTCCCTAGGCACTCTTCGGTCGACTCAGTCTGTCCATACCCGTAGAGCGTGCAACTCTGATAGTTCGACACCACTCACCAAAACCGTGCTTGAAATAAATATCTGAAGAATATAACAATTTCTCAATGTACTATTCTTTTTCTGATGTTATTACACAAAAGGTTGTCCTTATTTTATTACGGGATCTGAAGGCAAGACTTCCAACACTGCCACGGCGAGGGCTCTACTGAAGGGCAGTGTGACAGGGCATCATTCAACCCCATCATAACATGGTGTGAATGATGCTTCAGGATGTGAAGCAACATGTAACTAGTTGCAGAAGTTGTACGTTAGATCTCCGGGCAGCGTCTCTCGCAACGAAGGCCGGGACCGTGGCAAGGCGTCGGGGATAGCGGCTGTGGTGGCAGGCCCCATCATCGTGTCCAGTTGCTACTCCGATTAGGGTGCCGGTGCCGGCCGACGATGAGGGATGTCGCAGCCGTGCCGCCGCGAGGAGAGAAGCAACCAAATATGGAGGAGAGGCATCTCTCGCGACAGCTCCGGCCTAAGGGGCAAGGATTGTGCACCTATGAAGCCGGCCCGAGTTTCAACTCGTCATCACCGGGATGTCTGGCGCGAGAGCTATATCTGGCCTTAAGCGAGACGGAAGAAACTCTCGCTGAAGTGTGTGAGCATATGGCACCTCCTATTAGCGTAGGTTCGATCACTTCGCTCGCTCACACTCGCTGTAGGTTCGCTTGCTATAGGTTTTCTTCATTTTTTTTACTTTTTTGTTTTCTTTGGTTCTTTTCTTTTTTCACTGCCTTTTTTCTTTGTTATAACTTCAGTTTTTCACTATTTTTTTGGTATTTTTCTTGATTTTCACAGAATTTTATTTTATTTCCTTTTTCTGTGTTTTTCTACGGTTTTCTTTGTTTCTTTCACGATTTTTTGGTTTTTTGTTTCTTTTTCTTTGTCCCTTTATTTGGTTTTATTTTTTATTTCTCGTTTTTCACTAGTTTTTTTTCTTTTTTTTCTTCTGTTTTATTTGGGTTTTCTGGGTTTTTACGTTTTATTTTGTTCTTCCTCGTTTTTCTCCGGTTTTTATGTTTTCATTATACTTTGGTTTTTTTTCTTCTTTTTTCGTTTTCCTTTTAGTTGCTTTTTGTTACTTTCATGGTTTTTATTCATTTTTCTTCTCTTTCTTTTTTTCCTTCTTTTTCGGTTTTGTTTATTTCTTAGTTTTTTTGCTTTTCTTTTTTCTTTATCGGTTTTCACTATTTTTACATTCTTTTGCATCTGTTTATTTGGGTTTTCTATTTTATTTTTCAGTTTTTTTATGGTTTTCTTTGTTTCTTTTGCTTTCAATTTACATTTTTTTATATGTCAACAACATTTTTTAATACACGTTTAACAGTTTTGTAATGCGAGTTTAATATTCTTTTAATATATGGTCAACATTTATTCTATACACATTTTGAACATTTTTTAATGCTTAATTAACACTTTTCAAAGACAAGGTTAACATTTTTAATACATGGTCAACATTTTTCCTATACACACTTTTAAACTTTTTCAAAGGCTTGATTACATTTTCTAGTACATGGTAAACATTTTTTATGCACATTTTTCAAATGCTTGATTAATATTTTTTAATGTAATATCAACATTTTTGAACACATGGTCAACATTTTCTCTTAACACATTTGACATTTTTCATATGCTTGATTAACGTTTTAAAATACTTGTTCAACATTTTTTTCAAATGGTTGATTCACAATTTTATATACATGATCAAAATTTTCCATCATTTTTAATACATGGTCAATTTTTTTACACATTTAACATTTTTCAAATACTTTTTCAACATTTTTTCAAATGCTTGATTAACATTTTTATATACATGTTCAATTTTTTCATCATTTCTTTAATAGATGATCAACATTTTCTCTATACACATCTAACATTTTCCAAGTGCTTGATTAACATTTTCAAACACTTTGTTCAACATTTTTTCAAATGGTTGATTAACATTTTTTAAATACATGATCAAATTGTTTCCTACACATTTTATTATTTTGCATACATTTTTGGAATACGTGATAAACATTTTCTCCATACACATTTAACATTTCAAATGCTTGGT